GCCAGTGCCTATGAGAAATTTGGATCCAGCGCTCGCTCCGAAAAAAAAAAAAAAAAAAAGTAACATCTGTATTTCTCAGAACCTGCGTCTATTCTTAGGGTGCAGAGAAGCAGATTGATCCTGCAGTTTTTTATCTTGGGGGGTGGCTGGGGCAGGGGAAGTGTGGGGTAGAGACCCACTCAATGCTGCTCTGTCTGCAGGGGGCAGCCACACGGACAAAGTGCTCACCCCAAAAGAGGCCTACAGGCCACAGTCGGCCTGCCCCTCCCCGCCCCCACCCTTCCCTGAGGTCCCACAGCTCAGCGCCCCCACCCACCCACGAAGCCCTCAGGACGTCTTACCGAACTTGCAGGAGCCTGTCTGGTTGAAGAGCAGGCCCATGGGGATGTTCCAGCCTGCAGTCCTGCCCACGGCTGTGTGGCAGGACTTCCTGCCTCTCAGAGAGTTCCAGGTGAGACCGGCATCTGATCTCCTGACAACGGCCACAGCAAGGTACCCTTGAACCACAGAAGAGAGGAGAGGGGGCTGGCATCGACTTGAGCGCAGCTGTCTGCAGCCTGAGCCAAAGCAAGTCGAGGAGCGCCCCCAGGTGGTGATGCTCCCGGATACCTAGCCATCGTCAGAAGCTTAAGCAGCTGCTCTATGTGAAGGTGAGACTGATCTAGGCTATGAAATGAAGAAGTAAGACAAGCTGAGCCTTTAAGTGATTGCCGGGAACCATCCCTGACCAGCCACACATCATCCCTGAGTTATACACCGACAATTCGCCGTGATATGGGAGCCGCTGGGCGAGTACAGAGCTCTTCTGAATTGGGGACAAGCATGGGCTCTGGCGGGAGGGCGGGGGTGATGCTCAGAGCATGGGATGTAGCACAAGAGACCTGGTTCAACTCTGAAAGTTCTCTGCCAAGTGTGAAGGTCAGTAGAAGATTCATTACAATTACTCATCTGTGAATTCTCTGCATCTCCAAAAGAACTTAAGGCTTCTCCCGCTGCATCTCTGTGAGTTTTTTTAGAGTTCCTGCCACCTCCTCGGGCAACGAGGATGACTTGCCCTCGACCCTAAAATGAGCAGGTAACAACTCACCTTCCACCGGTCTATCCACACAACCTGCTTTATTAGGGTTCTGTGATTCTGAAAGGACAAAAACAAGCAAAATGTCATTAAGCACTGAGCTTTGTTGAGAAGTTGCAAACTTTTAAATCTCAGCGATGCAGGATCAAATCCGAAGAGACTGTGCAGTGGTCCAGGGACCAGAAAGGCATCTGTGTGTTCACAGATGCTCACAGCAGCTCGTTCACAGCGGCCGCTGGCTGGACACCACTCAAATGCCTCTCCACCATAGGACGGACAAATAACTGTGGTCGAGTCACACCACAGAACACCGTACAGCCACAGATTCAATATTCTTTGGATGAATAGCACAAACATTAACACCGTAACACAATGGAGAGACGTACAAAGCACATGCCTCGCATGTAAGGTTTAAAAACAGGCAGAACTCTTCTGTGCCATCTGAGGTCAGGGGTCATTACCCTGGCTGGAGTAAGACGGCTGGTGGCAGGAGGGCACCCGGGGCCACGTGGAACTTGCTGTGTCTCAATCTGGGCACTCACGCAAGGGGATGTATCAGTTCGTGAAATATCACTGAGTTTTTCTGTATGTATATTATACTTTATTAAAATCTTTTTTAAAAAGATTTTATTTATTTATTTGAGAGGGAGAGAGCAGGAGTGGGGGGCTGGGCAGAGGGAGAAGGAGAAGCAGACTCCCTGCTGAGCAGGGAGCCCCATGCGGGGCTCGATCTCAGGACCCTGGGATCATGACCTGAGCCGAAGGCAGACGCTTAACCAACTCAGCCACCCAGGTGCCCCTAACGCCTTTTTTTCAAATGAAGAGGAGGAATCTCTTCAATCTATGCTCTGTTGCTCCTCAACACAGCAAGCTGTGTGGGTAAAAGCCCCTTTCCTTTATTCTTTCCCCCAATTCTCCTGTTTGACTGCATCCATCCATCCATCCATCTCCCACGGCCCAGCGGAACAGACCAGAGAGGACACTCCCCTGACTCACTTTGGCTCTCTGCCAGGACGGGCACCAAACCGCACTTGCCCGCAACATAGATAAGGCCTCCATCCAGGCTCAGGGCATCAGCTTTTCCTTTCTGTAAAACCAAAGCAAATCGTCAGCACCACGCAGTGAGGCTATCTCCTGTCCCGCCTGTCTTTACGGTCTTTAAGAGCATGGCTTCATGTCAGAGAATGTCAGGTGTTCCCATAAAGCAGCAGAAAGAGACCAGGTTTGTTTGAATGGAACATCCAAGGAAAGACTACATGCACTATGGATTCTCTACCAGCCTCACACGCCTTTCATGCTGTCACTTCCAATGCAGAGACCACGCACAGGCAACACTGACCCTCTGTCCTCCAAGCACTCTTGGGACGCCCTCCTGGACCAGCCTCTCTCACTGAGGAGAGGCATGGGCTGCATCCGTGGGCACCACACTCAAAGTGCTACACAGAAGTTGTTCAACATGGGGCGCCTGGGTGGCTCAGTCTGTTAAGCGTCTGCCTTCGGCTCAGGTCATGATCCCAGGGTCCTGGGATCGAGCCCCGCATCGGGCTCCCTGCTCGGCGGGAAGTCTGCTTCTC